TTTCCAGGTTGACAAAAATGGCTTCTTTTACCCCTCTCTCAAACCATCTGTCTTCCCTGGCCAAAATGTGCACATTGTTGTCCTCAAAGGAGTGTGTTTTGTCCTTTGAGGTGTATGTGAACAGCTGAGTCCTGTCCTGAGGAGTTGGCCCTCCTGTGTTGGGCCATGCGCCTTTGTAGCAGTTGTTTAGTCTCCCCAATGTACAGGTCTGTACACTGCACTGAATGGCATAAACCACATTGTCCAGCTTGTTTCTTGGAGTCTTGTCTTTGGGATGAGCCAGTTTTTGTCTTAGGGTGTTGCCAGGTTTGAAGTGTACGGGGATCTGGTGTTGGTTAACAATCCTCCTAAGTTTTTCCGAAACCCATGAAATGTATGGAATGGCGACATTCCCCCTCCTCCTGTTGTCCTCCCTCTTTGTAGGCCTCTTTTTGTTTGTTTTTAAAAAAGCCCATCTGGGATAGCCACAGGTCTTGAGAGCTGTCCTAATGTGTCCCTGTTCTCTCATCTTACCTCTGTTGGTAGTGGGAATGGTGTCTGCCCGTGACTGTAGGGTTCTGATGACTCCTAATTTGTGCTCCAGTGGGTGGTGTGAGTCAAAACGTAGGTACTGGTCGGTGTGGGTTGGTTTCCTGTACACCCCCATGTTAAGTTGTCTGTCTTCTGTGATGTGAACTGCACAGTCCAGGATTTACATCTTCTCTGGTGAACTTGATGTTCCTGTCCACCGTGTTGATGTGGTCTGTGAAGTTGTCGACCTCATGGACCTTGATTTTGACCCAAGTGTCGTCCACATATCGGAACCAGTGGCTGGGTGATGTTCTCACATAGGAGTGTAGAGCTCGGCTCTCCACTTTCTCCATGTAGAGATTCGCCACTATAGGAGACACAGGAGAGACCATAGCGCAGCCATTCTTCTGTCTGTAGAAGGACTCGTTGAACTGGAAGTAAGTGGTGGTGAGGCAGAAATCCAAAAGGGCACAAATGTGGTGTGGGGTCCACGGTGGGGATGTGTGCAGGAGCAACCGCAAAGTTCAGCCGTTTAGCCAAGACGTCCTTTTCTGGCTGGGTGAGGATTCTGTCAGACAAATTCTTCACCCAATTCTCCTGGGAGCCCTGCCGTGTAGTGTTGGAATCTCTGTTGTTTTGTGTAGATTCTGCGGCGGTGGTCTGTCTGGACTGGAGGATATGGAACTTATGTTTTTGTCGTTCCTTACCTTTGTTATGTTGGAACATCTGAGCCTTCTCAGCAAACTTGGAGACCTCATCCATGACGTTCCTGGGGAGTAGCATAGTTAATTGTTCTCTTACCTGGTCGAGTTTTACCCTCAAGGCATTGATGGTGAAGTGAACCTGTCTGACTCATTCATTCAGCAGCTGATACTGTGCCTTCTGGAGGATGTTCCTGGCCCTGTGACCTTTCACTGTTGAGAGGAGGCGTAGGCTGGTGGGGATTATCTTGTGGTGTCTGCACCTTAGGTTGCAGACACCACAAGGCAGGCTGATGCCCGCCCATGCACACACCCACATATCCAACAGAGAATATAGCCACCCTCTCCACTCTCACATGCCTCACAACAATTCCTTATATGCTAGATGTTGGTGACCTCTGTTCACCATCAGGAAGATTCTAAAAAAAGCGAGGGTGGCTTCAATATACTAGTTATAGAATAATGATTACATATATAAGTTATTTTGGCTGATTTGACCAATCTCAGAAAGATTCCCCTGCATTTTGTCTACCACACACAGGAAGTAAACACGTCACCAACTTAATTCATCTTCAGTAAAGGAAGGAGTTGTTGCCATAGAAACTTCTATTTTTTCCAACCTTGTTACCAGGAACAAGGGAAAGGGAAGGTGGAATTAAAGCCTGTGGCATAAAAATGAAGGATTCTGGTTTAATGAAGGGCAAAAAATAGAAGCTCTCCTTTGCGGTGACAGATTGGCAAACTGTCTGCACAGGAAGCTTGTGGGTAACTTGCATTGTTATCTTCATGAATATGACAGCTAATCACCAGCTGATGGCTCTAAGAACAAACAAACAACAAATTCTGTGTTTCTTTATTTTGGTGATGAACTGGAAATATGGAAATGTGGAAATATGTTTTTGAAGTTTTTCAGTATAGGCTGCTGAAACCATGGCTGGGTACATTTGTCTATAATGGTAATATGTGGTTACAGATTACAAGTTTTAGATCTGTTCAAAATACAGTTAAAAATATATCTATTATGATGAAGGAAAACGTCCAATAAAAATCGGATTTATGCCATACATATAGGACATGTCTTTTTTATAAATGTCTAAATGTTAATGTCTTTTATCTTTTAAAGTGGAATCGCAATTCACAATATTTACATAATGTTCAGAAGGAGATAACTTAAAGCCAGCAACTGAGACCATACTCTCCTAATACAGCTGAAGGCATATCCCTGTATCTTTAAATCATGTAGAGAACTATGATGATTCAGCAGCTTTTCCCATGAAAATCTTCTATTCTGTGCTCCTATAATATTTTGGGCTGGCAGAAGAAGATAAGTGAAAGGTGGCAAGGTGTAGCTAAAAAGGTAATTGTTTTTTTTTACATCTCACAACCTGTTGAGGGATTGCAAATAGGCAGCCTGGAGCAAAACTATCCCGCTGTGCTGTACAGTTTGTTCTAATGAGAGCATACATGTTTGTGGAGTAAGAATATTCAACCCACAAACCCAATTTCTGTATTGGACTATCACTGCCTACTAAAGTCCTAGTTGGACGCAACTTCTTGGGCATAAATTGCCAGCATTTGAAGGTGGAACACAGAAGCTGGGTCTTCACATGCTTGACTCAAAGATGGACCACAGCAATGACTCTGACCAGTTTTCCCTTGATCTGTATGATGTATACACACGCCTGTCAACCAAATGTTGAAAAATTAACACTGACAATGGGAGGGTACTGTTTAGTTAGGCTAAAAATAAGTGGGCAAATTGAACAAAGAAGTCAATACAATAACTGAATCCATCTAATGACCCCAATTCTAATGTTGGAAATTTCAAAATAAAAAGCAATCAAATTTTGTAATTTGGCAATTTACTTTCACTTAGCAGGCAAAAACCAAAGTTTTTTTTTTTTTTTTTTCAAATGTAATTCCATTTGGTCAAACAAGAAACATTTTGGTAGATATCTCAACTACAGAGAGGTAAATGGACTGGGTATAAACTTAACACCAACCAAACGGTGCTGAACTTTGTAAGTTAATTGTAAACATTTTTTTAAACAATAATTCATTAAAAATGGATTGGACAATTATGAAGTATTGTGGAGAGATTCAGAGATTTAGAAGAACTCTTGTAAAAGCCAACGGTGGGAACTGCTGCTGAATGTGTGGTCCTTTTGCCCAACACACATAGTGTGGTGTTGTCTTGTTGTAGAGAATACCACTTCTGGAAGTAGTTTTTAGGTAAGAACAGAACAGAATAGAAACTGACTTACCAGTCCTGGACTGCACCAAAAGACTCTTCATTGGTGATGTCATACATGAGGATGAAGCCCATGGCCCCACGGTAGTAGGCAGTGGTGATGGTCCTGTATCGTTCCTGGCCTGCAGTGTCCTAAAGAAAGACAGGGGTATTTGTTAAAACTTCTGTATAGCTGACTGATATTTATCTGTGCACCAGTGCAAAATAATCTGATATACGGTGGCTTGCAAAAGTATTCATACCCCTAGAAGTTTTCCACATTTTGTCACATTACGACCACAAACATAAATATATTTTATGTGAAAGATCAACACAAAGTGGCATACAATTGTGGAGTAGAAAGAAAATTATACATGATTTTAATTTTTTTTACAAATAAAAAAGTGTAGTGTGCAAAAGTATTCAGCCCCTTTTTCTCTGAGTGCATACAAGTTGCCTGATGATTGCTGAATGATCGAATGTTGACTAAATAGAGTCCACCAATGTGTAATTTAATCTCAGTACAACTACAGCTGTTCTGTGACGGCCTCAGTGGTTTGTCAAGAGAATATTGGGGAGCAAACAGCATCATGAAGTCCGAGGAACACACCAGACAGGTCAGGGATAAAGTTGTGGAGAAATTTAAACCAGGGTTAGGCTATAAAAAGATTTCCCAAGCTTTGAACATCTCACGGAGCACTGTTCAGTCCATCATCCAGAAA